AGGAAAAAGGAGAGGAAAAAGGCAAGGAAAGAAAAAAGAAACAGGAAAGGAAAAAGGAGAGGAAAAAGGAAAGGAAAGGAAAAAAGAAAGGAGAAAGGAAACAAAAGGAAAAAGGAAAGAGAGAGGAGAGGAAAGGAAATCCAAAGCAGGGCAAAAGAGGAGGAGGAGGCAGGCAAGGCAAGGGAGGGCTAGGAAGGACAAGTGAAGGCAAAGGGGAGGGGTAGGTAAGGGAGGGAGGGGTTGGACTGGGCAAGGCAAGGGAGGAGCGGGCAGGGCAGGGAAAGAGAGAAGTGGGTGAGGAATGGGAAGGGGAGAGGCAGGCAAGGCCAGGGAAGGGAAGGAAAAAGAGATGTTCCTCTGGCAGTGGATGAGGAGACTGAATGATGAGGAGAGCATCTTTCATGGGTGATGGGCAGATGAGGGATCTCTTGGAGAGAGCAAAATGCTGCTCTTCCTGCAGCATCAGCCGTGGCTGGTGGTGGGAACTGTGGGCTGAGCACATGCCATGGTGTTTGACCCTCTCTTCCTGTGCTGTCTCTCTGATGTGTCCTGCACGTCCTCTGCTGTGGCTGTTCTGTGTTTCTGCAGGTGCCTGGGGCAGGGTGTGTGCCCGTGCTCTCCTCACACRGAGGATGCCAGCCAGGAGCGATGGYCTGCCCAGCTCYCCAGGCAGCCMSCAGCCCCAGGGTGACACGGAGGGGACAGGGCTCAGCGCCAGGAGGTCAGGCAGGTCCCTGCTGGGGGTGAGGGAGGGGCAGGGAGGGGAAGGCCAGCTCAGTGTGTCTGCTGAGACCTGGCGTGGGCAGGGCTGTGACACCCAGCCTCTGTCACTAGCTTTGGCCCTGGTGGCACAGCGTGGATGTGATTCCCCCTTTTCCCTGCTGCAGGACCTGCTCAGCCCAGGATGACCCCTCCTCAGAGCTGCAGACAGGAGCCAGTCTGGATGGCGGGGAGCAGAGCGGTGACCCCGCTTTCCAGGGCCAGGGAGCCTTGGCCAGGTACTGTGTGTGCCACTGGTGTGGGGTGAGCCGGAGCCTTTTGTGCCTGCCTTTGGCACTGGGGCCTCCTGCGGGGTCAGGATCCCCTCCTGCTGTCCGGCACTCTGGGGATGCAGGGGGGGGTGAGAATCTGCCAGTGCTGCTCTTTGTGGCCCAGGGTTCATGGGAGGGGATGGTTTCACTCCCCCTGGGACCCCAGGAGGGCTCAGGGGCTCCTTTCCCTGCTGACAGCCTCCCTCTGCCTCACTCACCCACAGAATCCTCATATTCCTGTGGGAATGGCATCAGGACTGGGGGAGAAGCTGTGGGACTCTTTTGGGATGATCCCTCTTGCTTGTTAGTCCTTGGTCCCCCATCCTACAAGGTCCCACATCCCTACAAAGGGTAATTAAGGAATAAAGACCTGAGAGGGAGCTGAGAGAGCAGCTCCCCTGCTGACTCTGAAGCTTTTGCTTTGTCCCTGCKCCATGGACAGCTCCTCCTCCTCTCTCCCTGTCCAGGATAGTCCGGCTGGTGCTGGTGCTGCGGGGCTGGGCCAACAAGAGCCTGCACGAGGAGCAGCAGAGTCCAGACCCCTTCCTGGAGCGTTTCCAAGGCCCTGAGCTCCTGGCAGTGCCTGCAGGTGCTGGTGGTGGACTGGAGGATGAGGAGACAGAGCAGTTACACAAAAGGTAGGGTCCCTTTGCTGCGGTGCCAGCTGTCCCTGGCTGGGATCAGCTGTGTGGGGCTCAGGGGGTCCCCAAGGGGATGGGGAACAGGGAGGTGGGGTGCAGATGAGAGAAGGGTCCTGCCTGCCCTCTCCAGACCATCCTGGCAGCCAGTCTGGCTTTGATGGCACACAGGACCTGTGGAAAAGATCTGGCCTGTCCCTCTGCCATGGGACCTCCCCTCTGCCGCTCCATGCCCTGTTAGGGCACACGCCCTGCATGGCTCAGGACAGCCAACAGA